TCTCTTATACATATGTTTCTGTGGATTTGTTTCTCTAAAGTACCCAGACAAATGATTTTAGCACCTAGAGCTCACGACATACTAGCTTAGAATTCATGGGCACCCTGAGTTGAGGTCTTGAAGGGTCGGTTGTTGAACACAGTTTATCTTGATAAGAGAGAAACTACTTCCTAGAGGAGCAATGGTAGTGTGGTGGTTAAGTATTGGGCTGTGATCCAAATGGTCAGCAGTTCAAAACCACCAGCAGCTCCAAGGGAAAAAGACTGGCCTTTCTTCTTCTGTCAGCAGTTACCGTCTCAGAACCCACCAGGGCTCACTATGTGGCAGTGAGTCAGTGGTGGTGAGTTTGGGTTCTTCTTTCCTAGAGCAGATTGCTAAATTGTTTTTACCTAGTCCCTGCATTGTTTGCACGGAAAAAGGAAAAAAAAAATTTCCCTTTACAAGTGTAGGGAAATTCCTTGGTTTCATTTCTAACATGTGTGCTTAGGACTGTGGCTGACTGCTGGGGAGTCATGGAAACGCTAGCACAACTGAAAGAAATGTTGCCCAGTCAGGTACCATCCTCACAATTGGCTGAAGATCAGACCATCGTGACTCATCACTTTGGTCGGACCATTGTGATTCATAGGTTTTGAGGGGCTGATGTTTTGGAACAGATTGCCAGGCTTTTCTCTCTAGTCTGTTTTAGTCTGGAAGCTCCACTGCTGAGCAATATGTACGCCACACCCCGCTCCCCGAGACAGAAGGTGGTGGTTTCTGCATGAGGTGCATCGACCAGGAATTGAACCTGGGTCTCCCTCAAGGGAAGTGACGAAGCTCTCATTACAGCACTCGTGTCCGTTTTTACAATAACACCCTCTTTTCATTAAAAAAAAAAATTCTTGGGAATACTTTCATCTGGGTAAGATATCGGGGTGCTTCATTCCCAGTGGTTCTCTGTAACATCATAGGTGTGCTTTATAGTCTTTTTATTCTTATTTGTATTTTCTAAAGTTTTATAGTGTACATAGTATGTTTAGGGGGGAAATGCACTTGTTTAACTCCTGTACAAAGAGATGATTTTAGTACTTCAGTTTCCAAAATCATCCTCACCTCCAAGCTTCTGATCATCAATGAACATTTAGCAGCTTTTCATCTTTTCTGCTGAAAAGATAAATGCTGTCCGAGCTGTTTAAGAAGAACACAGCTTTCAGAAGTTTACTGGAAGCCTATTAGCTAACATAGACACCCCCATTCTCTGTTCTCCTCACTGCGATTTCAGAGTCATGGTGAACTGGTTGTCAGGGACTAGAGGGAGATGCATGTGAGGGCTGAGGTGGCCTCTCTAGCCAATCAATGATAAACACTGCTGGGACCTACTATTTGCTCAGGGCTAGACAAGGTGAAGTACAGCACAGAAATCATCTAGCCTATGCCCCATCCCATGAAGGAGCTTGATTTTAAGTAGAAAGGTTGGTAAGGAGTCAGTCACTAACACCCAGGAAGCAATTGCAATTACACACACCTCAGAAATATGGTGCGTCGGGTTCCAGACCCCACACAGGTGCCCTTGTGCGAGAGATGCAGAGGGTGATTGAGAGAGAGACACACAGGAGAGAGCCACGTGAAGACACAGGCAGACATTTGGAGGAACCTGTACTTCCACAAGCTAAGGAAATGGCCTAGGCCTTAGTGGGGGCTGAGAAGTGCAAACTCTGTAGAGCTGGTGGGCAGGCTGAAAACCCTTAGGCCAGAGCAAAGGGAATTTTCTCTGGAACAGAACACTCTCCCTAAATGCCGTATTCCCCCGGCCCCTTGGTGCCCTGTAGATTGTGTAGGAGACTGAAATAAAGAGATGAAGTCCCCCACGCTCCCAGGACTTGACTAGTCTGCGGAACACCCCCACCCCCTCATTCAATCAATGGCAACGAGAGGTGCTTCCTGGTGGAGTAGTCCGATGCCCCTCACAGTCTGGGATGTCTTTCAGGGCTGGACATCCCGAGTCAGGACCCGTTTCAGGGCTTGATAATTCCACTGTGTCTAAATTAAGAGGTCTGAGGACCACTTTTGTAATCTTTGAAAATAAACCAGCTTTATTTGAATCAGTCAATACCAATCAAGAATGAGAAACACAGTTATAACTGCTTCAGATTCATGAGGAAAACACACCTCTTTATCTTCATTAGAAGGCATTGTACATTTATTAAGGCTTAAAAGCACATCTTAGTTATTTTCTCACCACAGTTAAAGGTCTCAAGAGAACCATCATTTGGAGTGTCTTTATAAAATAAAATGCTTGTTGTTTTGCTAGTCAGCTCTCCAACTTACAACCAGGTGACTAGGGAAGTCAGACAAATTCAAACATCAGCAAGATAGATCATAAATATATGCATAGTCAATACTGTAAGATCTCTAGCTCTACATAAAATACCTTAGATAATTGGATCCTTAACACTATGTTTTGCCAAAATCAGATTGACTTTATAGAAACACAAATTGGCCCAAACCCTACAACGAGGCAATATTTAATTGAGCTGGGGTGGGGTGCGGTGTGAGATCAGAGAGGCATGGGTTCTAGTTCCTTAACTAACATTAAATAAAGTTATATGCATTTTGGATCCTATTTAATTATGAAAGAATCCTAAAACTGGAAGAATAATGGCCGAGGGAGAGGAGCATGCAGTCATGAGAAGGGCGCTCATTGTTTGACACAGACGAAAGGAGAGAAGACGATGGGCCATGTGTACAGAAAGGGCCCAGGGCGGCGATGTGATCAATACTGTTCTCCTGCAGCAAGCAGACCCAGATCCACGCGATGGAACAATGCACGCTTCTTTCTCTGATGATGTCTGAAGATCCATTTCAAGGCCGTACCCGAAATAAGGACGTCATCCCTTGGGAATCACTGAGCTTACTTTTCATCATAAATGAATGCTCAATTCCTTCAGGCTTAGTTCTTGGGACCCAACAGAACCTCCTCACACTGTTTTTTCAAGAGAGTGTGTTGTGCATGTGACGCACTTACGGCCAGAGCTTAAAGAGGCGAGGAGGGAGACCTCAGCCTCTGGGTTCATTCTACTGCTGAGATGGTTTCTAGCCAGTGAGGAAAGGGTGTGTCACAGCAGTATGGGGGTGGTGGGGGTGGGGGCAGCATATGCAGCCACTAAGTTAATTTCATTTTAGACTCTACCTTTTTAAGAGAGGAGTCCATCAATGTTGCAAAAGGTTAACATGCTTGACTGATAACTGAAGGCTTGGAGCTATGAGTCCAACAGAGGCTCCTTGGAGGTCAAGACCTACTTTAAAAAAAATCATTCACCAACAACCCTACGGAGCACAGGTCTATTCTGACACGCAGGGGTCCCCATGAAGCAGAGTTGACTTGAAAGCCACTGGTGCTGGTTGGCTCAAGATGGGCCACTCAGATCTCTGCCTGTGTATTTCCATTTGCTCCAGCCTCGCTGATTTCTGGAGGGTTCCGATCTTCAAGGTCAAGTCCACACACGGTTCATTTTGTGATGGCACTACGATCCTTGGTCTTGTCTGTCTATAGAATAAACAGTGTGCACAGGGGCTCTGAGGAACATCAGTCCGTCAATGGGACAAGTGGCAGAAAACACGGTTCAGGAAGCCTCACTCTTGGCACAGCCCCTTTGTCCTGAAAGATCAAGATTCTTCACTGGCCCCAGCAGTAGGACCAGGTAACCCTGAAAACAGGGCCATTTCCCAGGCAGGTTAAACTAGTTTTGGGTTGTCCACTAACAGAAGCTCATTGATTGCTATTTCACTTCTCAGCCCACTTCTTTGGTAGCTAGCACCCCTTGTTTAGGACAGCCAGGCTGGTGTTTGTGATTCTGAATGGTTAGGCGGCTGGCTTCCTTTGACAGGAGAGGGAGGCTTCTGATTGGAGGAATGGTGCCATCCTTAGATCAAGATTTTATGTATTCAGTTCATCTTTTCCACCTACCCACACCTCACCCAACATCTTTTCAAGTTAGCTTAAAGGATGTGCAGCAGATGGGTAAATTCAACCCGGATCGTTCTGAGCTTGAATCCTGCTCCTACCTCTGCCTCCCACTAAGCTACCCCGATAAAGAACAGTGGAGTGAAAGCCGATGGGCAAAAGTAAAGACAGAATAGAAAAGCACTCAACACACGTAAATCTCCTGCTCTGTGCCACTGAACTGCTGTGAGGAATCAAAGTCCAGGGGCTGGCAAACACTTCCATTTGTTCTAGGTTGGTTCTTGGGACACCAAAGGCACGGTTCTGGGGAGATGGTTTGCCGTGCTTATGACAGGGTCATCGCCAACCCCCTGAAAAGGCTTGGGGAACCTTGAGACCCGTAATAAAAATCTCATTTGGGACAAAATAAATCAGAAGGTAATCTTCAGATAATTGTTTTTACAATATTTGATGAACATGGTGTGAAGATCTTAGGGTTCTGAGGCAGCAGTTGCATCATTCAATAATCTACTAGGTACATTTAAAAAACTGTATTTATGATGTGAGGATCCACAAGTGCCTTCCTTTCATACAAAGGGGCTCCAAAAATATGGAATTTTCCCACCAAGTTTTGAAGTCCCCATTGGGACATGGTTATCATGTCCCATGCAACTGCCACTTCTTTACAATATGGTTATACTGCCGATTGATTGCCAGCTCACCAGCTCCTTCCTATTGTTATTCATGCAGCATCACAGAAGGAGCAGCGAGAAAGAAGCATTTGCTGTGACCCCTGGGTTTCTAAAGAACAGCCAGTGGCCGAATTCCGAGCAGCAGGTAAGAGGATCCTGCAAGCTCCCCCTCAGGGTGGCGCTGCTCCACCTGGCACTGCCTTCCGTTTCCCTGACCCCACCTTCCTCTCCAGGCTGTGCTGCACGGAGGGGTTTGTTGGCCAGAGTAGCTGTGGGTCTTGGGGCACCTGCCCGTGCTGAGCGTGGAGGAATGGGTTTTTGAGTGCAACAGGATTTCACACTAATTACAAGGACTTCAGGGTCTTCCAAGCCTTCATTCCCCAGAGACCAGTTGTAGGCTTCCCCCCTGCAGTTCAAAGGGCTGCTTCCTTGCCAGTTCCCCCTCCTAAACTTCCCCAGGGACAAGGTTTCATGGATAGGGTCCTTCAGAGGTCGGAAATGAATCGCTTCTTTCTGCCTCTTCAAAGACCTCTCAAGCTTCACTGTGAAGTTTCCTCTTCCACGGTTGGCTAAAGGGGCCCTTCCACTCCCGCCCCTCGGATTGCATCAATGGGTCACCTTTTTCCTTCAGAGATCCCTGGAGGCAGGGAGACCCAGGGATTGCTGGGGTTACAAGTTGTTGATGTTTCTGTGGAAAGGACCCGTGCGGTCGGTCCTGCCCTCGCTGAGAAATGAGGCAGGGCCAGGGGCTTTGCCACACTGCGGGCCTCACCCTCGAACAAGCAGCAGCACAGAAGGAAGGGTTGTTGAAGGCGAGGGCCTGCTGCGGATGAATGTTTTCACAGGGCATTCACTAAGAAAGGGGGCTGCTGATTTGTTCATTTTCCCCTGCCCTTATGCTCAGACCAGTTAGGATTTCTAAGGCGGTGACCCTCTGGGAGAAGGATGGAGGAATGAGATCTTGGCTCAGAAATATTACTGTTTAATCTGAAGATCAGAAAAATAACCTCAATGGATCTGTGTTGTTCTTTGAGTTCATATCACATGACTTCCCCATCAGAAAGGCCCATGGACTTTCTTCTTAAGGTAGCCCATGATCATGCCACCCAGGAAACCTGTCTCTTGGCCATCAGAGGCTGAGGCTGAATCAGTTGGGAGCTGTTACCTGAGAGCACCCAGCTAGTAGATCCTGGAGAAAGTTGGAGAGATTGGAAAAGAGAATTTTGGCCCATTCTTGGGGTTTGGTAGTTAGTTGAAACCATCGGGGAAAGACTTCACTCACGAGAGGGAAGACCTGTCCAGAAGATGTCCCGAGAACCAGGCCTCATCAAGAACCTTTTATTTCCCCCCAGCCTTCCACCTCCCACCCACAGACACGAAGCACACTCATTGGTAAGCACAGTCAAACCCACACTGCTGGTCTCCAGCGAAACCACTACCACTACGCAGACCACCGCCGTGGCTGGTAGACCCTGTGGGTCTTTTGGCATCGACACTGCTCCCACAGTCCTCCCCTGGCTGGTCACCCCAGTTTGAGACTGCATGCCCATGACTTTCCTCGGCCACGTCTGGACAGCGTGGACACCGGCATGTGCAGCAGCACAGCACTGTGCAAACGGAGAATGGTGTCAGGAGTGATTTTCCCGTCTTGCCATCAGTGTCCAATGCCAGGAGTGTCAGGAACGTAGCAGCTGAAGGTGTGTTTGCCAGATGCCCAAATCCACAGCCAGCTGATTCCCCCTCCATTCCCTCCCCCCATCTCCCCTAGCACGGCAGCAACGTCTTTCTAATAAGAACAACACTGGCATCTGCCCTAGGCCATTGGAGTGAGTGACAAAGAAGGGGCTGGAAGAGGAGTCAGTGTTACATTATGCTAATGCACCTCAAACACTATCTTGCTATTGCAGAAGGCACTGGGGACAAGCATTGGAAACGAGGATTTTTTTTTTCCCCAACACACAAGGAACCCAGACGGGGCCAGCAGGCTGATGGGTTGATGGCTGACCAGTTTTGGGGTGGTGAGGCAAGGCTGACCTATCCTAAGCGAGCAAGCTGGAGTTCCTGTGATGTCAGCAAAGAGTGGCTGTGATTAAAGCAACAACAACAAACATTCCCCGAGGCAATGTGGAGGAGGGAGCTGTGAAGCTGGAGTCCTTTGGAGAGTTCTGCAGAGCAGTGATGGATCAAGATGGCCACGCTCAGGACCGGCTGAGGCGCTTGGCAACGTCGGCGTAGGCCATCTCAATCTCATGGTCAGCTGCACAGGTGTTGGTGAACTCATCCCGGGCATAGGCATTCTTGAGGTACCGCCACAGGCCTGTCATCTCACTTGGGATATTATAGTTGCGGTATCGCTTGGCCACAATCTAAAGCAGGGAAGACAGAACAAAAGTGGAGTGACGCGGGCCACAGACAGCAGGTGGAGCAGCATGGCCCGGCAGGCAGCACATGTCCGCAGAGGCAGGTCACCGTGTTACCTTCATTTTGTTTTGTTTTATAGTTCTTAAATACATCTAAGAGTCCCTGCGTGGTATCAGAAAGGGCCCTGTTGGCACAGGGGCGAAAGCTGCTAACGGAAAGATGACCAGTTCAAACCCACCGCCTTGTACTGCCCCCTGGAAACCCGGCGTGGCGGTTCTGCTCTCTCCGGTCCGGTCCGGTCACTGGGAGTTGGAATTGACTTCATCTAAACAGTGTGTCTGTTTGGTCGGGGTGGGGCCAGTCGTTGACTGACTGCTAACCTGAAGGTTGGAGCCCACTCCTAGGGGCCTAGGAAGAGAGTCTTGGCTGTCTAATTCCTTTGTGGTAGATCCTAGGTCGTTCTAGGTCGGGTCAGCCGCCCTATGAAGAAAAGCCTGTTTCAATCCTATTGAACAGATGAGTCAAGTAAGGCACCCAGAAAGCTCACTGCCACCGAGTGGATTTTGACTCATAGTGACGCTTACAGGACAGGGTAGTACTGTTCCTGTGGGCTTCCTACGTTCTCATTCTTTACGGGAGGAGAAAGCTTCCTCTTTCTCCTGCAGGGAAGCTGGTGGTTTTGAATTTCTGACCTTGTGGGGAGCAGCCCAGCACGTATCTACTCTGCCACCAGGGCTCCAAGGACCTTATAAGGCAGAGTCAAACGGTGCCGCTTCCTGAGGCGGCAACCTCCATGGTGTATTTTGCCTTCTGAGTTCTTCAGTACTGACTTAATAATTTTTTATATTAGATTATGTTGGTTAAAATAACTGGTTTGGTGTGGCCACCAACGAAGCCACCCCACAATTTCCTACCCAGCTGAAGTGTGGCTAAAAAGCAAAGGTCAACCAGGGAATGCTTGGGCCAATGTCGACCACCGGGTCTCCTCGGCCTCCCTGGCTGCCCACTGCCCAGGGGAGGGTCTCCTGCATTGGCCCAGAAACTTCGGAGAAGGGCTGCGCTGACTAAAGGGCAACCCCTTTCCCAAGTGGTGCTCTCACCGGGGATGCTGCCAGCTTTGCAGTGTGGGTGAGAAGGGTCCACACCAAGGTCACGGTGCCCATCCCCAGCTACTTTTCACATTTACAGACTGATCACACGGAGCAGCCTCCAGTCTTTCCAGGCTGCATCTCGATTTCCCCGGGGTTTAAAGGGTATAATAGTGGCTTTCAAGTCATAGAAGTGTAACTTAGGAACTGCGTTTTGTTTCTGTGAGCAGCAGCGGACAAGGCCACTCTGCTAATTCAGGGTCCCAAGGTCAGCTTACTAAATAAGGGCCTGCAAATGGCCCTCCCACCCAGAGCCGTCATCCTCTGTCCTGGCCACTGTCCCTTCACCCTGTGGTTGCACTTGATGAGAGAGAACTAGAGGGGGCCAGACAGCGAAAGCTTAAGGCAGCTTCCGTGAGCACCCGGGCCAGAGCGACTGCTCCCATGAGGGAAGATGGACCTAACAGCGAGCCAAGCGGGGGAGAGGGGGAAGAGGCAGAGGCACAGAGCGGAGGATGTGCACACCAAGCTCTGACGTTGGAGGGCCGTCCGTGCTCACGTTCTGCATTTGCGCTGTCATATGAAAGCAGTTAGCTCCCATAGCCCAGATTAAGTTTGGGTGTCTGAAGCCAAACTGGAGGCCTGACTTGGCTCCTCCTTGGCGCTTTCAGGACTTCAGAGGTTTGCCAGGTCTCTGGGATCTGATAAGCTGCATCAGCAGAAATCCAAGGAGACATGAGGCAAGACCTAGTCTTTCTTCCCTCGCAGGCTCTCCTGTCTCTGATCCCTGGTTCCTTTGAGTGAACCTCTCCTGAACCCCTCCAAGAAGCGGGGCTTGACTTAGTCAATTAGGGCCGGAAGGCAGGGACAGAGTCAGCCGGGGAGATCCATTTGTTTACCTTATTCAACAAACAACTCTTTGGTGGAAAGTCAGTAAGCACTGAGTCAGGAAGGATGAAAGGAGGGGAGGAGGAGGCAAGCAGGAAGCAGGAAGTACTATAATCAGTATCCCTTCTTTTTAGCTATGAGACGAATAATTTCCTCCCAAATGAAGTGACTTGCCCTAGATGTTGCTGCTAGTTGGTGACAGATACAGGACTAGAACTTGGTCTCCTGGCTGTTCACTCACTGCCATCTAACTAAGCAGGGAGTAAGTCATTCTACCTCGTAGTGACCCTATAAGACAGAGTAGAACTGTCCCCGTGGGTTTCTGAAGTTGTACATCTGGTCAGGGCCAGAAAGTCTCATCTTTCTCCCCCTGTGCTGCCGGTGGGTCAGAACTGATGACCTTAGGGTTAGCAGCCCGACTCATCACGCATTACACCACCAGGGCTCATTCCTGTTTGCGAGAACAGGGCTCTTTCCTTCCTGACACTCTGATTCAGTGGGTCTGAACTGGGAGCTTATCATGCCTAATGATGCCACTCGTTTCTCGGGAGGTGTAGGGAGAAAAAGAGCATGTAGTATTGTTAACATCAAAGGAACTGGGCCCCAGTGACCACTGAATTGGTCCCTAATCCAAAGTGTCATCATAGTATTAGACGGTGCTTGTCCAGCCAAACAATACAGGCGTGCATGATCCCTCCCAGTGACCAGCTGAGGCCCACGGGGGCCTCAACGCAGGCACAGCTGAAGAGTTTCAGCACAAGCGTGTGTGTCCTCTGGTTTGAACTTCAGCTGAACAATGATGGGTGGATCTCTCCCTCCTTCCTGGTGGCATAGTAGGCTAAGCGTTGGGTTGGGTATTGAAAGGTCAGCAATTTGAAACCACCAGACACTGCAGGAGACAGATGAGGCTCGCTTCTCTGTAAAGAGCTGCAGTCTCAGAAACCCACATGGGAAGTTCTAGCCTGTCCTGTAAGGTTTCTATGAGTCAGAACTGACTCAATGGTAGTGAGTTACTCCAGTACAGCTTTACAGCTTTGGAAACCCACAGGGTAGTTCCACTCTATCCTTTAGGATTGCCGTGAGTCAGAATGGCCTGAATGACTGAGTTTTAAGGTGCTCTGGTGGTGTGACAGGGTTCTCACCAAGTTGTTAATCACAAGGTTAGTGATTTGAACCCTCCAGGTACCCTGCAGGAAAAAGATGAGGCTATCTGTGCCTGTAAAGGTTTAAAGTCTCAGAAGCTCACAGGGTCAGTTGTACTCTGTCCTATAGGCTCATTCCATCCCTCTCTGGTGCCACCACTAGAGGCTTGGATTTTTACAGAGTTACTGTACTAAAAAGATCTAGTCGACATCTACCATTTTCAAGAGGTAGCATATAAGCAAGAACCAGTAGAACTGCAGGAAGAACTCCAAACACAAGGCTCCAGGAATTGATGGAATACCAACCAAAATATTTCAGCAAGCTGATGAAGTCCTGGAAGTACTCACTCAGCTATGCCAAGACATTCAGAAGACAGCTACTAGGCCAACTAACAAGAAGAGATCCCTATTTGTACCTATTCCAAAGAAAAGTAACCCAACAGAATGCACAGATTAGAGTACAGTATCATTAATGCCACATGCAAGTAAAATTTTATTGAAGACCATCCAACAATGGTTGCAGCAGCACCTTGACAGAGAGCTACTAAAGGTTCAGGCCAAATTCAGAAGACGTGGAACAAGGGGTAGCATTGCTGGTGGCAGATGGATCTTGGTTCAAAGCAGAGAGTACCAGAAAGACATTGATTTGCATTTAATTGACTATGCAAAGGCACTTGACGGTGTGGATCATAACGAACCATGGGTAATCTTGAGAAGAATGGAAACTCCAGAAAACTTAGTTGTGCTCGTGTGGAACCTGCACATGGATCAAAGGGCACTTGTGCAAACAGGCTTAAGATCAGGAAAAGTGTGTATTATGGCTGTATCCTCTCACCATAGTTATTTAATCTGTGTGCTGATCAAATAATCAAAGAAGTTGGACTATATGAAGAAAAACGCAACATCAGGATTGAAAGAAGGCTTATTAACCACCTGCTATATGCAGATGATGTAACCTTGCTTGCTGAAGGTGAGGAGGACTTGAAGCACTTGCTGATGAAGATCAAGGAGTGCAGCCTTCAGTGTGGATTACAACTCAATGCAAGGAAGACCAACATTCTCTCATCTGGGCCAACATTATGAAACAAAGAGAAAGATTGAAGTTATAAGTTATTTCATCTTGCCTGGATCCATAATAAATGCTCATGGAAAAAGCAGCAAGAGATCAAACTACCCATTGCAGTGAGTAAGTCTGATGTACAAGACCTCTTTAAAGTGTTGAAATGCAAAGATGTTACTTTGAGAAGTAAGGTTACCTGACCCAAATCATGGTATTTCCAATCACCTCATATGCATGTGAAAGTTGGACACTGAATAAGGAAGACTGGAGCAAAAGTGCTGCATTTCAACTACGGTGTTGGTGACGAGCAGGGAAAGTACCATGGACTGCCAAAAGAGCAAGCAGACATGTCTTGGAAGAAGGACAGCCAGGAAGCTCCTTAAAGAGGGTGAGACTTTGTCTCACATCCTTTGGACACCTTGTCAGGAAAGACCAGTTCCTGGAGAAGGACATCATGCTTGGTAAAGCGGAGGATCAGCAAGGAAGAAGGAGGCCCTGGACGAGATTCACTGACACAACAGGACCACAACGGGCTCAAACAAGCACCATTGTGAGGATGGCGCAGGGCTGGGTGGTGTTCCGTTCTGTTCTGTTGTCCTATGAGTCAGAACCACCTTGACAGCACTTCCTGACATGACGGCCCCAAAGTCATAACGAAGCACTTGGAAAGGCAGGTTTGGGGGTAAGGAACAATAGGCAGATCCCCAAGCTTCTCGGTGAAGCTTAGAGGGAACTCCGTGCCCCTAAGGCACACATTGATCAAATGACCAGTTACGTCTTTGCTATCGGGTCACCATGTGCCCACCATCCCGCTGGGGGAAGATCCCACAGCAAGAGCTCATTGGCTGGTTGAGACGGTTAAGACTGAGATCTGTGTACAAGTAACCAGTAACCAACTGCCGTCAAGCTGACGCTGACTCATGGCAGCCCTGTGTGTGTCAAGGGAGAACTAGGCTCCATGGGGGTTTCAATGGCTGGTTTTCAGAAGTAGATCCCTAGGCCTTTCTTCCTGAGCCACCTCTGGGTGGGGCTTGAGCCACCAACCTTTGTGTCAGTAGTCAAGCACATTAACTCTTTGCACCACCAAGAACTCAGTATAACTATGATTCCTCTGCGTTTTCCTCTAGGCTGATAAAAACCAAACCAGACTCAGGGCCATCAAGTTGATTCTGACCTGCAGGGAAACTATAGGAGAGAGTGGAACTGCTTCATAAAAGAGTGTCCAAGACTGGAAGTGTTTTTCTGTTTCTGTTTTGGTTTTACTATGCTATAATGACATTTGATTTTTATTTATTTATTTTATTAATTGGGATTAATATATAGATCACATCATTCCATAGTTCAGCCACATCCAGGAGAATCGCACAGTTGCTACCACAATCAGTTTCCAAACACCCTTTTTAGACTGTAAGTCTTCATGGCAGCAGACAGCCTCACTTTCTCCCTTGGAGTCGGTGGGTTTGAACCACCGACCTCACAGCTAGCAGCCCACCACATAACCCACTGCACCAATAGGGCCCCTTCTTAGGCTGGTTGATCATCAGGAAATTATGGGAGAAGTGTTAGCTTAGAGAGCTTAGCAGGGTAGGACTGCTGTCTCGGATGTGAAGAAAGAGAGCTTCCTTGTTCTGTTCTGTGTCGCTCCAGAGAATAAGTGAATGTCAGGGAGGCACATGTGGGCTCAATAAGGAGAAAGCTGTTGGGATGGTCAGAATTTTCCTCTTGAGGCAGATGCTGTCCATCATCGACTGTCAATCCCAGTGGCACTGAAGCCCACCATTGACAAAGCAGGAAGTGGTCCCGTATGGGTGGGAATTATCCTGGAAGACCTTGACTTACCTTTGACTCTCAGATCCTAAGATTCATTGTATAGGGAGGGGTTGCACTGCATATAACAGGGCCTCACTGAGTATGATTACAGTGCGACACCACTTCTTGTGGCCTCCACCTCTCATGGAGTTGAAGAGGTGTGTCTTTGCTAGAGACAATGAGAAGACAGTCCAGTGAGATGGACAAATGTAGTTTGAGGGTATGTGTAATAGAGGTGCGGGAGTGTGGGCAATGAGAACCTGGGAGAAAGAGAAGGCAAAAGGTCTTTGGACCGATGTGATGATACCTGGACCTGCTGCCACCAAATCGATTCCAGTGCACAGCAACACTCTGGGACCAGGCAGTACTGCCCACAGGGTCTCCAGAGCTAAAGTCTTCACAGAAGCCGACTGCTATCAGCTTTCTTCTGCAGAGCAGCTGGTAGGCTTGAACTCCCAACTCCTCAGTTATCCGCCAAATAATTAACCACTCAGCTACCAAGGGTCCTTCAACATGGCTATACTTAATAATCATAAGACCCCAAGCCAAATTCATTATTGTTGAGGGGACTGCTCCTTATGGTAGCCCCACATGGAGAGCACAATTACTGAGGGTTTTTTGGGGGGGTAGGGGTGGGGCTGTACTCTTTACGGAAGTAGATTGTTAAACCTTTCTTCCATGGTGTTGCTGAGTGGATTTGAACCACCAGCCACTAGTGAGCAGTTGAGTGCTTAACTATTTGTACCACCTAGGGACTTTTTATTAACAACAGCAACTAATATGATATTGAACCCCTAGACTATAGCAGGCACTCCCCTACTGTATTTACTTCCCATATAGCCCTCTAGGTAGGCAGTATCTGCCTATTTTACAGGTAGGAAACTGAAGCTTAGAAAGGTTATGCAGTCAGCAAGCTATCAAGGCTGAAGTTGGGCTCCGCCCTTCTGGCTTGAGAGCCAGACCCAAGACCACCGTGATCTTGGCTCATCCTCAGAGCTGAGCTGTAGGTAGAACGGGCTCTGGTGAGCACTGCAGGAGGGTGCTCCCTTACCTTGACCACGTGGAGCTTGGGCAGCAGATTGCAATCAGCCAGTGTCAGCTCGTCCCCATCCAGGAACTTGCGGCGGGACCCTTTTTCATCGTCCCCATAGGAATTGGCGTCTACTTCCTCTGGCAAAGGGGTGTTCAGGTAGTCATCCAGTTTCTTCAAAGCCTTGGTCAGGCCTCTCTCAAGGGCTGGTATGGGAGAGCAGAAGATGCATCTTGATACCACCTTACACCAATATGTATAGCAAAGTTACACACAGAACAACAAATGCTGTAAAGGGCATGGAGAGACCTGGACTCTCCTACTCTGCTGCTGGACTATAAAACTGTCCAACCACTGTGGAAAGTGGTATGGCGCTTGCTCAGACAAGCGGGAAGAGAAATACCACGTGAGGCAGTTTTCACTTTGCTGGATATACGCCCCAAAGAAGGAAGAGCCATAATATGAATGGAGATGTGCACACCATGCTCATCACAGCACTGCTCACAGGAGAAAAACGAGGGACACAGCCTTAGTGTCCCTCACTGGAGGAGTCGACAGGCTTCGGTACATACGCACATGGAATACTACGCATCACTACAGAACAATGGTGAAATGCCTCATGACACAGGTGGATTTGGATGGCATTACACTGCATGAAGTCAGTCAATCACAAAAAGATGAAGACGAATACTGTATGAGATCGTTGTTATGAATGAAAAATCAAGATAAAGATTTTCATACCAAAGACACAGATTTTGACAGTTACCATGGGTGATAAGGTCTGAGTGGGAAAGGGAAGGCAGTAAGCTAGAGGGTGGACAGGGGTCAGCTAAAGTCAAGAGGAAGATAATGTTCTACAAGAGGTAAAAAAGATCATTAAAGGCGGGGAAGGCAGGACAAGATATTGGGAAGTCTGGTAAGTTGTTTAAATTGTTGAATACAAAAATGATTGAAAATGTAAACCCCACCTAACTCACAACCAAAAGATCTTTAAAAAAAACACAAAGATGTGTCTTTAACCCACCTTCTTGCCACTGGATATGGGGACAGGTCCTTTGAATGTGTGGCTCCCCCTGAACCCTGTCCCCCTTGTCACACTGCCAGCCCTCCATCCACATTCCAGAACACCTAGCAGCCATTAACATACTATACTAGAAGTGGAGCAAATGGCCCCAGAAAGAAAACACGTTCAGAACAATATTTACAGTGTAGTCATTTTTGTGTGAAAATAATATAGAAACTAAGTGAGTGTCTGTCAAGTAAAGAAATAAGTGCACAGTGGCCCTAGAGTAGGAGTGTGCGCCCCAGGTTTTGTGAGACGTCTAGCTGGCCCCTGAGAAAGGGAGAGAAGGGGCCGACATGACCTCCAGGAGAGAAGGTCTTCCTGTGCTGTGCTGTCCTCCCGAAAACCAAGGCGGTGTGTCTGCGATCCCAAAGGGAAGAGGACCTGCACCTTCGGCAGAGGGCTCCTTACCACAGTGGCCTCACAGCCATCAAGCCCATGCCTTCTCAGACTGACTCCACAGGACAGAGTAGAACTGCCCCCAGAGGGTCTCTGAGGCCGTCAATCTTTACAGGAGCAGACTGCCGCATCTTTCTCCTGCCGAGCAGCTGGTGGATTTGAACTGTTGACCTACTTGTTAACAGCCCCATGCCTAACCCCTACCACCATGAGGGCTCCTTCCTTATCCCCAGGATATGAGTCACAGCTGCATGGAAACCCGTTACCAGCACAGCTCAAAGAACGAATTCGTGAAGTCATGCCATCGAGCAGAAGACTTTCAGGATCTGGCCCCAATATTTATTGTTCAAGTAATTTATTCAGACACAGAACGGAATCAAATACCTGGAAGAACCAGCACAAGAAGCCACTATCACTCAAAGGGCCTTTTACTCCCAATCTCTTAATCCATTCCAATCCTCGGGCATTCACCTAGAAACTTCCACCTGAGCTCGGGGACAGCCATGGAGGAGATAGCTCTCTAGACCATCAACCACTGCACCTGTGCCGTGAGTCCCCCACAAGCAATGGTTTGCCGTGTGACCCTGGGATAATGAAGTCGTTCTGCTGGTTAATCTCAGCAGATTCAGGGCGGGGGTGGGGGGTGGGGGAACGTGCTGGAAGAAGAGCTCTGAGAATGGGACTCTTGCTCAGAGTTTCCCAAATGCGCCTTCTGAGAGCCACTTTTCACCTGACCCTCCTCTGTCCTTCCACAGAAGGGCTTTTGTTTGAGACAATGGACTGACAGTGGCCCAAGTTAATCAATTGAGTGCATACTGGAATGTTTGAAAACCAGTTGGAGGTTGGACTTAGTTTCTCAATACTTCCTTCTCCCTGGGGTGGCACTGAACGTATGCTTCATCATCTGCTTTGAGTTTCCAGTTTGAGAGAAGAGAGTGAGGAGGGCTGGGAAAATATGCTTGTTTTCCCCTTAGTAATTGTCTAGACTGCGACGAGATGGCAAGTCTATTCATGGGCCAGGGAAGAGGCTGGGCACTAAACAATACTTATTATGCCTCATTCCCCCGAAGCCCTTGGGATTTGAGCTTGTTTGTTCCCTTGCATCCCTGTACCCCTTTCATTTATGTCATGGAAAAATCTTGGTGGTTCTGGAGAAAATCCAAAGAAGGTATCGGTTGAAATTTTGCCAACCCACATCATCCCAGGGAAAGAATTCTAGGATGGGTGCTCCTGGAGACCCGGGCAGGTGGCTGTACAAGTGTGTGTCCCCGTCACCTGCCCGCTGTGGGACTGGGAGTCAAGTCCTGACATTTGAAGAGGCGGCTTGGATAGCAACAGAAGCTCATTTGGGTGGATAATTCAGGGTCAAAATCAACTGCTTCTCCAGGATCCCTTGAGACGAAAGCATACCTTTTGGTGAGGGGTTTGGTCATTGCCTGATGGCTCGTCTGTGACGGAGCGTGCCATACACCAAGATGTCTTTGGTGTGTCAGTTCCATCACTCCTCTTTATGTATTTTTGGCCTAACGTGTGAAGGTTTGAGCTGGTGACAATCCTGGCAGCTCTAAGGCAGGGAATGAGATTGGTGGGGGAGTGTGATCAGAGGCAGGTAGTATTGATGGAGGCTCTAATATCTAGGCAGGAAAGAGGCCGAGTGGCCTACAGCTTGTTTGAATCTTGACCCGCCCATGGTTGGTTTACTGTGACCCGATGAACCTTAGGCTTCAAGGTCCTGACCCTGACTATTTTATTCCTTCTTTTACTGCTTCTACTGAATCCAGACCCTCCAATAGCTTGGATATGTCCCTGATACAGCCATGTACTATTGAACTCCCTCATTGTGGATGGGGTTCATTTGGTTTTCTCATTCCCATGATGGGAATTAAGGTATCCAACTCCATATGGAGTGCTAGAGTGGTACAGATGGTAATTGTGCTTGGCTTCAGATAAAAAGTTTGGCCCATATTCCAGTCTATCCAGAGAACCCGTGTGTGTTAGTCTGGGTGGACTACAGAAACAAATCTAGGGAGATGCTCATATGTGTGTAAGGGAGAACTTTATATTAAAGAGCAATTGTACAGTAAGAAAACATCCCAGCCTAGTCCAGATAACGTCCATAAGTCCGATATTACCCCATATGTGGATACTAGTCCATATTCCTCTTTAGATTCATGCAGCTGTGTAATGATGCAAAATGAAGGAAGATCACAGCCTAGTGGATAGAAAGTCTTGTGGATCCAGTGGTGGTGGAAGCATGTCAGCATTGGCATGAGTCTGTACATGGCTTCTCCTGTTCCAGGGAGAGTTCTGGCTCTATCGGCGTAGCTCCATGTGGCTTGTCAGCAGCAATGTCTCCCAGGGAGTGAGAGTATCTGGCCTCCAGTGAGCTATTTATCTCCATTACACCTCCAAATGAGGTCATCAAGATGTGACCTGATTGATTGACAGGCTAAAGTCCACCCCATTCACTCTTAACAGTCTCAAGTTGACACCAGATTATGTAACTACCACACTGGGGAAGAAAAATGTGGCCCCAAAAACCTGGTCATTGAAACATCCTATGGAGCAGAGTCAATGCTGACAGCCATGGGTCATGAACTGGAACGTCATGGCAACCAGACCTTGACAAGGCCACTGCGAGGAGTTGCTGGAGTTCTGCAGGGAGAGGGCTCACTCTGGTGCATACCAGGGCAGCAATGAATGCCACTGTTGTTATTGTACGCGGCGGCCCCATTCTCTCGGTCAGTACATTCCTGACCACTCCAAGGGGTGGCAGAGAACGAGCCTGTGTATGAAGCACCAACACTGAGGCCCCAAGGGGCGGGGGAGTTCAACAACTGTAGCTTGTCTTCTCCAAATTCTGTCATGTTCAGCGACAGCCCTGTCCCTAAGTTCCCTTGGGATCCTGCTTGGTGGTAAGTCTTGTTGAGAGGCACAGCCAGAAGGAAACGAAGGCAAGCCCTTGTGTGCCCAAACACAGCCGCATTACCAAATCCCAGATGCTCCGCACCATGGCGTTCTCTGCCAGTTTGCTTCCTTCCTACCTGCCAGCTCACTCCTTTGGCCCTGGCTCAATCTGGCACCCACAGGACTTAATTATCTCCTTCTGCTGACGGCACCCAGGTCATGCAACAGTTTGTGTTGAACTTGCTGCTCCGGGGAGAGTGCGGGGGAAGGGAAAGACAGCAGAGTGGCCTAAAGATGTTGAAAATGTCTACACGAGGCTGCCGCGATCCCTGCAGTCTGTGCATTAGAAACCCTTCCTTCAAAAAGCTTTCTTTCAGTACCGTGAGCGGGTAACCTTGAGGCCACGGCGAGAAAGCCTGGGGGCAGGGCACCCCAGGATGGCTCACGTCCCCAGGACTTGATGGATACTCAGGCCTTTAACTGCTTCCCCTGCACCCTACATTCTTCCCCATGAAGATTTACTCCGTACCACACACAAATGCGCTGGGTAAAATATGTGATGAGGAAACAAGAGGAATAGTTCATAAATATTCTCAGCCATATGCAAACAATCTCAAATTTATTTTTCTCTTTTTAAAAGAGGTGGGGGTAGGGGGGTGGAGAATCCACCCATTCCTTGATCACTTCCAGATTCATCGAGGTTGATATTACATAAGACCCAATATTGTTTTCTCATCGTAGAGAAATAATAACTTGGAAACGGCAATTTGAGCTAAAAAAATAATATACTCTTACCCAGGGTATGGAGTCTGAATGGGGACTCAGGAGCCAAGACTC